TATTCGTCCCTTGTTTGCCCTCATACGTCGAAATCGACGGGAGAGACTAATATATATCGATATATACGACTAATATATATATATATATATATATATATATATATATATTCAAAATACCATCTATAAAAGATACTTAAATATCACTATCTTTTGCAACTTGCTGTTTGATGTGTATATGAAAGATTACAATAGTCATGCATTTGGAAATGATAGAAGACTCAATTCTAAATGTGTGCATATATATATATATATATATGCGGCTACTGTAACTGTTATCAGGGCGAGAAGTGGAATCGTTCACTTTCTTACAAATGCCCTTGAAAAACATGATGCTAACTTTGGATTAAATAGTAGGTTAGACTGGGTTCTGAAGGCATCTGAGAAAAGAAAAATATTGAATTATAAAATGCGGAGAATTCAACGGGAACCCACTTCATTTTCTCCTTCCGAGAATTCACAGTAACTCACAGATAATAAAGGAATCTATAAAGGCATGATCGACTACACCCTAAAGCCTCTACAAATATAGATATTATTTGGCATAAGAGAAATTTAATAAGAGTGGCTTATTTGAGGTGCCCTAAAGATTGAAATCGCTACTCATAATTGCTCGCTAACTACGACCCACATGAAGGAAATCCAGCGTCCCTATATTAGTTACAAGCACGGAAAATAACCTGTGAACTGAAGAGTTGAAATTTTAGCTTAATCTATTTTTCTAGGCTTCGTACTAATGCGTTTACAAAAGACATGTGTCCACTTACCCTAGAATGTCCGTTAAATATAAAATTAAATGCCAGCGTTTAAGCATAATCTGTACGTGTACAAAAATCCTGAATATTAAAAATATTAAACGTGAAACGTTTAAAGTATTGGTTAAAACTTGTTGACCGGTCGGTTCATTCGGCTAAAAAATATGAACTAGTATATGTTACTTGTGAAGAGAGATCTTAAGTTCAGATAAGGTCATTATAACAAACTGTCGTTGGTTGGTTGTGGCCTTCAAAGTTGATTCTTTCACTCACTAACTTACTCTGCAAATCTTCCCTTAAAATGATTCAAAATATCTCGATACAAATTATCTGATTATTATATAATTATTTACCCGCTGCCTCATGCAGCAAGATGTGGCACAAGGCCAAGTTTAAAGGCTCAGGCAAAAATTCCCTGTAGACCACGTAAAAACGGAGTCAGTTTCCCGAGACGAGACCCTGCCCTTCGTCAAAACCTCGTCTGGGGGATACCCTCTGATATAAGCCAATGACACTTGGTGTTTTCTCATGCCACTGTGAAGGTTGTTGCCAATAGGATAGGTCGATTTTGTAACCATGATATTGCACTCGATTTGAAAGTCGGGATTTTACATGATAATGACACAAACGATTTTGTTCCAAATCGTTGTCGTTTTTTGTTTTTTTTTTTTTTTTTTTTTGAGGAGCTGAATTTAAAGATTAAGTTTAGGTACAAAATCGTAGCGTAATCATTTCCTTCCGATGATCAGTGAAAGCCTTGCACAGCCTTATAAAAGTTATAATTTACCAAAGCTTTACAAATTGTATATGGACAAGATGCATGGCACAAACACTTTATTAGTAATTCATTGTGTCATCAAATATGACTTTTAGTTCAAAGGGAAATTATTCTGAACAATTTAGCTATATTATGTATTCAGTGCAGCAATTTTAGTTTGATTTTCAATAAACAATGCAAATTAAAACATTTTGTCTTATAATTTATGCCCAGCAATATTATAGTGTTATATACGCTCTTATCTTATTTTTTTATTAATTATGATCTAACAAATGATCAAAAAAATCTTATTCATTGAGTAGTCTTTTTTTTCTAATCTTTTACAATTTTTTTACAGTTTTTACTTATCGAATACAGTAAAAAAAATGTATTTTGCTCGTGGTAATTCATAATTAGAATTCTAGTTTGAATATATTTCCATTCAATGTATCTAATAGCAACTGTATATAATTCTGAGATGAGGTATTATGTACACTATTTACATTATTCGGACTATTGTCCTCATCTTTGTCGCCATATCTATTACAACGTTTCGGCCGTTGTACGCTCCGACCTTCTTCAGGTGGTTGGAATGTCGAACTGACCCCTTTATTTCGCTCACTGGGGTTGACTGTTCTAGTTCCACGTGCCATGTTTAACGGGTGTCAGTTGTCAGTTATCTCCTGTTAATTTTCCCTCTACAAGTTCTCCACTGCCTTAACCGGGTACTGTACTCTCACTCTTTGGGTCCTGTCACTAGATCTAACTAACGTCTTTATCCACTGTGCCATGAAATGAAAGGTTCATTTCGACATCTCAACCACCTGAAGAAGATCGGAGCGTACAACGGCCGAAACGTTGTAATAAATATGGCGACAAAGATGAGGACAATAGTCCGAATAATGTAAATAGCGTATCTAATAGCAACATTATTTGGATCTATTCTTGAAAGAGTAATATTCTAAAGTCATTGTTTAAACAAAAACCTGCGGACATTAGGTATATCTGTACATTTTTCAGATGATCTATAAGGTTAAGTGCTCAAAAAATTGGTAAAAGTTATGAATCTAATTTTCGGTGTCAGTAATTATCTCATCAAACTCCATCTTTGAACAGAGTGCAATGTTGATATTCAAAAGAAAAATTGAAAAATCAACTTGCCCTATTGTGCCAAAGAATTTGTATTCTCTGAAAATCTCTTTAGTTTGTTTCAGAGACTTGTTTTGAGCTTAGTGAAGCCGAATCTTTGCTTGGTGTTATAAGAAATATCCATGTTTGTTAATCAAATGTGTAAATCGGGAGCCTAAAATAGAAAACAATCGTTGTTGACGTCGGAGACAAGTAAGGAAGGGAACTATTTCAATGCAACCAGTGGAAAATCGACTCTATTCAGACGGACGCTCATATGTGGAGATTTAGGAATGAAAAAAGAAACTTTACTGCTCGGCGCTGATGATTTATAATAGGAAACAATCTGGTTCCGATGAATTATTTGAACCATGCAAAGCCTTCAGCTATTTGCAAGGCGTTCATAGTATTTTTTTCTCACCAAAAACTTTTATAAGTTTCTAAGGATCGAACTAACTTGACCATTACGCCACATAGAAGCACTTAGCACACTAAAGAGATAACCTTATGAAATGCAAAAAGTATCTTAAATTCTAATTCGTACTCTCCCTTACTCTCACTCAGTCTTCGTCTCTCTTACACATTCTTAGTAATTCTCTTTCCCTCTCATATATATATAGAGAGAGAGAGAAAGAGAGAGAGATTCTGCCTAATTACTTTCGTTGCCAATGGACTTAAGCAATGGTTATTAATCTTATAGATCGAACACGGCAATAAAAAATTCAACACTACAGTCTCGCGCCAGGCTAAGGGGCATTGATTGATTCTCATCAATTCTTTGGCGAGTGTTTCTGGGTAATTTCCACACATTTTGAGTAATTACCTGACGATTAGGTTGATCGATTTCTAATCGCAGATCTGAACGAGAAGGTTCTCACAGAGCGCCTGCTTCTCACAGAACCACTGTGCTTAACAACCCGATGGAAATTAGTTCATAGATAGATACAATATCGAGGAAATAGTGAGTGTGTGTCTTTAGACTATCGGCTGTGACCTTGATTCATTATATATCTCAAAATCGCCACAATTGTTTGGCCCACTTTACCACTGTTTGTGAATAAATGAGTATGGGCGAAGACAAGCTGGAGGCAACTTCATAAAAACTAAACACTTAAAGTGTTACACAAGTTTAACGCGAAAATCTACTAAGTATTTGCTGCAGATCAAACACATTATAAATGGCTTGAGAGATGACCTTACTAAACATTTTCGCCACAAGAACTATTTTTGAAAATATCAAGTAAACAGATATTTTACAAGCATCGGATCCCCGACGACTGGCTAAATGTTTATTTATCCCTCTTGGGAGAATAATTTAGTTCTTGATTCATTGATTTTTATTTTTTTTTTTTTTTTACCTTGGGGACCGTTGACAGCTGTGCTAGTGCGAAGTCACAAGTCATCGTGGCCAAGGGTTTGAGCGTCCTCCTAATTGTTGATCACACTAGATAACGCGCTATTTCCCAAAAACTGTAACTAAGGTCTGCTAAGCACAGTTGATGTTGAGTATAACTTTCTTTTTTGTTTCCATTTTCTCTAAAATCTCGTAATTGCTCATATGTTCAGTCTATGGTATTCTCAGCATTTTTCCGTTGAACCACATTTCTGTTGCTTTAATTCTCTTCTTCATCTTTGAGGAGATTGTCCTGTTTTCGCTGCCATACAGGAAGACAAATACCATGTAACAATGCAATTCTCTTCTTTTTTTGTTTCTAACAATATTTTTCTGTTTCTTAATATTTTTTTAGCTTTTGTAATACAACTTCAGATCTCAGTGTCACAATTTCCGGCCTCTGTTAGAACACTTCCCAAATATTAAAATGCTTGTACTTGTTTGATTTTAGATCCTTGTTTTGCAATTTACATTTTGGACTCATCCGTTTGCGTTTTTGTGTGTGTGTGTTGAGTAATAGTCTTATAACTTGCCTCGTGTTTACTGGTTTTTTTTTTAGATAGCTAATATTGTGCCAGTTCGTTTTCATAGGAAAAACATCTAACGGTTCTTTCACCAACAGTGATAGATTGTTTATCATGAGAGAATATGATATATAAATTCCTATAAATCGGAACGATGTTAGGTAACTTAATGACACAGTGGAAACGATCGTGTAACTAGTTTCGTTCTCTTTAGTCTGATGCAATCTGTATTGGGAGTTCTTCAAATGTGACCTTGAACCAACCATAGCCTAGTCTTGGTAATATCTGCTTCAAAATAGTTAAGCACACTTCTTACAGCAGAAGCAAGTCCGATGATCGAGCTAGTTTCCCTCCATCTTTGGTGCACGGTTCTCGTAGTTTAGGTTGTGTGGACGAAATATTTACCTATGAACAGAGCTGCTTAAAGGCCTCTACTGTAAAGTAAAATGCGCGCAAGTTCTTTCTTTGGCGACCGTTTCTCCCTTGCTTTCTGGCGAATACGGTCAAGTGCCAAATTTTGCTTACTTAAATATCCAAGAGGCAGTCACTGAATGCTCAGCAGGTTATTCTGTTGAAGCTATCGAGCTCCATAAACGTGGCCTTGTTCCAATATTGTCTTAATCCTACAGATACCGATGGGCACCCACAGAAACTAGCTTATCTGACCATTTGAACCTGAAGTAATTCTATGCTTGGAAATCTTATGAAGAGATATGAAGACAAATCTTGGCAATGATTCAAGAATATACAAAAAAAGAAGAAAATCCTGTACAATACCATCGAGGGATGGGTTAGATTAATCACACAATTGGCAGTGCTTTTATTATGTATTTGTCGAAATCTAACCAATAACAATAGCTTAAAGACAGTGCCAAGCAATTACCTGGGTGGGGGGAACAAACTGTACCCACAAATTTCCAAATCCTCTTGTTCCAATAACAGCTACTCCTAAACTAGCCTGCGTCCCCTATCAGGTATATGCCAGATACACTACTGGTGCCAAGCAGTCATAGAATTGCGGTTTGTTACTTAAAGCATTCTTTAGAGCTTCGTATCAGCCGTGCCGTGTATGTCCTTTTCTAACAATGGAAACATGACCATGCCACTTCTGCAAAGAATGTTGCCAGATCGGGTTTTGTTTTTGATATAGATTTATGCTGTTGGCCAAGTTGGCAGAGACCATCGCCACGACACCGAATTCCGTTGCTTTCTCAATCACTTGCGGACATTTTACTTGTGTAAGGATCAGGAAGCTTTTTCATTGTCGTGGTTAAAATTAAGAGAGAAAGAAATTGAAAGTTTTGTTGAATATAGGTGTATGTCTGGTTTGAATTTATAAAAGTTGGTGGAAAGAAACGATTTTTACAGATGGTCAGATAAATGTACTCAAAAAAGCCAATGTAACCCTGAACCTATATAATAAATTCATTATTCCAATGCAGTTGTTCCCGAAAAATATTTTCTCTGAGCCGCATTTTTGGAATGAAAATTTTCTCGGAATTCAGCAAATAATGGGTGATAAAAAGTACATTTAAAAATAAAAAAATGACTAATAGGGTTAAAAATAATATATAAAACAAAAAGTACATTTTCTGAAAATATGTATAAAAATTATTCTGACTCTAGTTCCATTTGTGCCATGTCACAACGTTTGGATGTCGGCCTTCTTCAGGTGGTTGGAATGTTGACCCTTTATTGCGCTCTAGAAACATGTCTAATGGCACAGTGGGTCTGAAACACATGGGCAGTTAGTTAGATCCAGTGACAGGACCCAAAGTGTGTGAGTTCAATACCTTGTTAAAGCAGTGGAAAACTTTCTGAGTTGAATAGTGTACAAATCACGTATATGATTAAAGTACACAAATTTAATGAAAGGTATGAGTTTTTTTTTTTACTAGTAACCTCCATTATATTCAGCCTCATTTGAAATAAACAAACTCTCATCAACACAAAGAAGCATTCGCTGCCATATAGGAGGATAGATGTCATGTAACAATTCAATGCTCTTTGTTTCTAAAGATTTTTTTCTGTCTCATAATATTGTGCTTTGTTTTTGTAATACACTTTCGGATCTCAGTGTCGCATTTTCCGGCCCCTTTTAGAACGCTTCCCAGATGTTCAAATTTTTGTACTTGTTTGATTTTGTATCCCCGATTTGTAATTTACATTTTGAACACATCCCTTTTTTAGGGTCTTTTTGTGTTGAGTAATTTCGGTTGTTGATAGTTGTCAGAACTGAAACGTCGCAGGCAGCCCTACAGCAAAGAAGGTCCAGACAGAGGATTAAAGTGAGCTAAGCACAAATTCAAAGCCTGAAAATTACCATTGATAACTCTCTCCTCCAATTTGCGGACCCTAGTTACTATATTCTTAATACTTGATATAATGCGAAAAATAGCACGATGATAAAATCAGTTAATAATTATTTATAACTGTTTATATTGGGACCCATGCCTACAATTAGAAGTAATCCATAAGAATATTTTAAATTTTGAAATTATTTATTTTGGGTATATGATATTTTTTTAAAACAGTTTCTAAATCTTTGATTGTTTTCCAATCACTTCATATCACCTCCTATCCTCTCCTGTCACACCCATGAGCCGGGCCACACTGTTTGGGATACCACTGTTATAACGGGTGGCAGAATTAATCTCAACTCAAAAAATGGTAATTTGCAGTTCACTCCTCACGCTCATTTTCTAATAAAAAAAAATTCCCGAATAGTTCCATTTAGGCGTAAATGTACTTTGAATATACGCTCTTTAGCGCTAGAGGGCGTCGTCAGTGATTTTCTGATTTGGATCATTGGGTAGTTTCGGGTCTTTCAAACATCATACTGACCTCACCAAGTCGACCTCATCAGAGCTGATCGGACTCTGATACGCCCTTTAAAAAAACAAATGCTTATAGACACTGACTTCTATAAATATACCCCGTTATCACGCATTTGATTGGAGGTTGACCAATAGCCAATCACAATGGTGTGAACTTTATTTAAGTTGTATAAGGGGAATTTTTCCTTTTTTTTCATTTTTGAGTGGACACCCTTTCATCGAATACTTAGAAGGTAATTATGTTTTGCGTTTTTATCCACTTCCCATCAAGTTTCATATCACCAGCTAATAATTACTATTTACAGAGATAATAAGAAAAATTCGGCCATAAAAAAAAGAAAAACGAAAAAAACTCGTTTATACGATTAAAATGAATAAATAAATTACAGCGAATTAAACCGAGATTGTTTATAAATATCATAATAAAACGTTTAAAAACGTGTTGACGAGTAAAAATAAAAAACAAAAAAAAAACCTTTAATCTATCGATTATAAAGTTAAATTTATGTTTTAGATCGTTAGAAAAAAAAACGAAACGGGAAGAGGGGTAAAAAAAATAATATTGGTGAGAAAGTCGTGATTAATCATGCTTAATTCGAAAATAACAAAGAAATTTTGATAAAATCTATAGTTTTGGAGTTATCTAGAATAAAAATTCGAACTCATTCGCGTCGCGGTGGGCGACGTTAAGATTAATTCTGTACTCCGTTCCAACGTATATGTAATGCAGTGGACTTAGAAATGAAATTGAAAGTCCCCAGACAAAGTAGTAAAGGGAAGTCAAAAGATAAGACTAACTGTTAAATATAAGAAAAAAGAACGCATGATTGTTGGCAAATGATACAGCGAAAGTTGGGAGCTATATATTAAAGACTTCAGTATCGAGCTGTTGAAGCACCGTCTTTCTAGTGTCGTAATAGAACGACGAAAAGTGCGACGCAGATTCGAAAATGCATCGATATAGCAAAACTACTGAGGTAGGAAAATATCATTAGAAACAAAGAAAAGAGTTCCGGGCTGCTATGCATTATCTAATTTTCTGCATAGCAGTGAGTGACAATTTTCCTCACACGCAAACAAGAAACGAAATTCCAGATGAACAAATCTACTGTCGAATGTTAGGAATACTCTGGCCAGAAGATGCGAGTAACAAGGGTTTGTTTTTTGTTTTTTTAAGGTCAATAGGGACACGGTAACTTAGGCTTAGAATCAAAACGGGGCAGTTGAAATTTCTGCTACTCATAATGAAGAAATAAACCCTGGAGAATTTGACACTCGGAGGAAATGCTGAAAGCAGGATAATCAGTTGGGGGAAACAGAGATAAATAATATATTTAATGTGATTGTGTGAACGGATGTCAGAATAGGTACAAAGTGGAATGGTAAAGATTCACAAGACATACAAGAAATTGCGAAGTGGACTTGGCAAATCAAACAAGAATGCCACGACATTGAATTACCAACTTCTTAAGGTCATGACAATGACCAAAAAAAAATCTAATCGTTTTATTAATTCGCAAAGAGTTCTAAACATTTTAGATTGACGGCAATTAAAACAATGTTTAGACGAGACGTTGGCAGTCTTTTTTAGCTAAGGCTAAATATAATTCAAATCTATTTTCAGGGGAAATATTTAATGAATAATTACACAATGATTAATTAATTAAAATAAGGTGTAGATTGAGACACAAGTTTGAAAAGCATTACAAGTGACTGAAAAAGAAATCACCTTTTTATTGAACATGCCAGACATGATCGAGTCTTGCTATTTGATGTTTATTCAAATATTAGTTTATGACTATGAATTAAGTGTGATATTTTCCTCGCCAAAATTGACTTTTTTCTTTGACTCGACTTCCATTCAAACAAAATGTATTGTGCAAGAAAAAGTAGAAAGAAGAAAAATAGAAACTTAGAATCGAAAGAAAGTAAGCAATCTCGAAAGGGAAAAAATATATATTTTCCTGTTTAATTTAAACCAGATTCGTTTTTCCTAGACTGCTTGAACTCAAGATTGTTCAAGTACCTCCATATTTATAAAAAAAGAGGCAAACATGACAATTCTTAGAAACTCATAAACTTCTCTCAATTTGTTACTGTTTTTTAGACGGATATTTAGATTTTTAATAGGATTTTATTTATTTAGTTAGTTAGTTAGTTAGTTAATGTATAACTTATGTTTTCGTTAATTTTATTCAGGCCTAAATCAGCTAAGTTAAAATAGTGTCTATTAATTCTTTGCCATTTTTACCGATTAAGACTTATATCCGACATGAACTAACCCAAAAAATATTCCGTTAAATAATCCAACCCGATCATCTTTTTAATTGGGCGCCCAGGGATAATCCATCTGGAAATACGACTTGGGATTATCAATAATAATTATAGCTCTACGGTTGGTTATTCCTTTTAGAATTAAAAAGTTAAATACAGTGGCCCATAAGATTAGCCAGTGAAGTAATGAACAGCGACCCAGAATAAGAACTCTTAGAGCTGAGTTCGAATCATAGTCGAGATGCTTGCATTCACTTACGCACAAATACCCTTGGGAATAATCTGATCTCTCTATAATGTGGGTTAAATAGTAGGCTGGGTTTTCTAGCCTTAATTGGCAACTAGTCTAGGTGATGGAAAACTAAATTCAAAAAAACCATAACGATTGTCCATGATCACCGACTGTCAGCAGTGGCAGTTTTCCTGATGAAT